GTGTGTCTTCTCAGCAGGGGGGTAAGGTGAGTCACGGTGTCACACTCTTTCCTCAGGGACAGGCACTACCTGAGTAAGGGCTGGGAACAAACAGCTTCCTCCAGTCTGCATACACCCAGCCAAAAATGCCAGGGTACATAGGCAGCAGGAGCACGCTGGGGTCCTGGACAAATGGCTAGCACATCGGCTGGTTCCCCCTGCTGGGGAGACGAGACTGGGCTCTCGAGATGTGCACTTAGTCCCTTCAAAGCTCCCTGGGGTGACGAAAAAGGTTTGGAGATAGGAGTGACGGTTGCACAATACTGTGCATGCCACTGAACCGCATGTGTATACACACATATTGCTTCCCCACTGTTGGCAAGCAGAGTGTTCCTATGACAACTTTCAAAAGCTGAAATGGCAAGGCGCAAAGAAGCAATTACCATTCATTTCTATGAGTTCTATGGGAAATTCTTTTGAGTGTTCCCAGAACCCCAAAATAACCTACCAAATCATGCCAAATAAAACGTCAGTCCTAAAATTACACAGAACACTGCTGGTGTGGTACTGTACAACACACACAGGCACACAGAGGTGCCCATGTGGGGTCTGGCCACCCAACCCATCAGAACCCATGACTCTCACAGAGCAGCTGGGAATGCCAGCCAAAAAGAAGGCTGATCAACCTCCACCGGAGAGGAAAAATACCCTCAGCCTTAGTGTTTTCCCACACAGGCCAATCCACTGCCACCTCCCCACCTAGTGTCTGCAGTCACGGTTCAGAGTTTTGGCAGCTGGATGCTGAGATGCCAAGTATAGTTCTTGGGGGAGGGGCCTGAGCTTAGCAACATCACTCTTGTTGCTGGGGGGCATGCTGCCTCTTTAATGTTGTTGTTGTTGTATAGTACCGTCGAGTCGATTCCGACCCACAGCGACCCTGTATAGCATTTCCGAGGAGAGGCTGGTGAATCGGAACCACTGACCTTGCGGTTCTGTCTTTGCAGTCCAGCACATGAACCCATGAGGTGCAGTCCAGCGCCACACCAGGACTCCACTTCAGAGGCCAGATGTAAAACAAACGTTAAATGCTAACTTCACTTTTCCCCCATTTTTCTGGTAAAATTAAACATCTTTGGATTTCTTTTAACTAGTGAAAACAGATTCTAATATCACTGTGTTGTCAAACCGCATGCCAAAGAGGCGCAATGGTTAAAGCACTGGGTTGCTGATCAAGAGGTGGGTGCCTGGAACCTACCAGCCGCTCTGGGGAAGAAAGCGGTGGTAAGCTGCTCCTGTAATGTAAACATCTATTACAGCCGCAGGAACCCTCTGGGCCAGGTCCACTCTGCCTGTAGGGTCACTCGGAATAAGAATCAACTCAATGACGAAAGATTGTTGTTGTAAGTGCCACTGAGTCGGTTCCAACCCATAGCGACCCTGAACAGGGTTTCCGAGGCTGTAAATCTTTATGGGAGCAGAAAGCCTCATCTTTCTCCAGCAGAGCAGCTGGTAGTTTCAAACTGCTGACCTTGCGGTTCGCAGCCCAATTCGTAACCACTATGCTACCAGAGCTCCTTAATGACAATAGGTAGACAGACTATAAGGTCCCTGTGTAGCACAAATGATTTGTGTTTGACTGTTAACTTAAAAAGGTTCCTGGTTCAAGTCCAGCCAGCAATGTCACAGAGGAAGGTCCAGGCAACCTGCTTCTATAAAGATTACAGTCCAGACAGCCCTACACTAAGCAGTTTTTATTCCGCAATGCGGGCTTGCCCTGCGTCAGAATCCATGCAACTGCAGAGAGTGAGATGGCTGAAGTTGAGAAAAAGGTCAGCTGCTCCCCACAAACACCTGAGCCCGGAGCTGTCCTGAGCCCCACCTCCATGCACGCCTTATAGAGTTCACACATCTCCACAAACACCTGGGCCCCGAGCTGTCCTGAGCCCCACCTCCATGCGCGCCTTATAGAGTTCACATCTCCACAAACACCTGAGCCCGGAGCTGTCCTGTGGCCCACCTTCATACATGCTCTGTACAAGTCCACGTCCCCACAAACACCCTGAGCCCAGAGCTATCCTCAGCCCCACCTCTATGCGCACCCTGTATAAGTCCACGTCCCCACAAAAACACTGGAGCCCGGAGCTGTCCTGAGCCTCACCTCCATGCGCGCCTTGTAGAAATCCACATCGTGTAGCTTCTCCCGGCAGCGCACCAGATCCATCTCCAATCGCTCAACGCGATTTGCCTTCTCCCTTAGCGAGTCCAGCTCGTCCCGGTAGGCACGTGCAGACCGGGCATCAGCGGCCAGCTGGATGTTCTGCCGAGAAAGGAGAGAAAAGCTTATGGACCCTTGTGGACCTGATCGTCAGTCTCTGGGGAGGCCAAGGACAGGGGAGCAGCCACAGTGCCCGCAGCCATTTAGGTGGGGGTCCCGATGTGGTTGTGGAGACTTGGTGTTTGTTTAGCAGGCTCTGAGTGTGCAGGAAATGGAGGTCTTTGGTGGGTGCTCCTGACATTGCGGTCCTGAGCCCCGCCTGGTTCCGCCCTCCACACACAGGTCCTGGGGCAGCGAACCTCCTGTTTAACTTTCTGCAGCTCCAGGGCTAACTGGTCAACTTCATGTCTGGTGTCCACAAGCTGCTCCGTCTTCTCCTCCCTGTGGGGCGGATGAGAGACTTCCTTGGTCATCTCCGGATGAGGAGGGACCAGGGCCTGCACACTGTTCCTGACCCAAAATTATTTCCTGTGTTTAAGAATCCAACGCCTGCCCTCAACCACAGCCACCAACCACACCAGCTCCCCCTAGAGTGTCTGGGAAGGTAGGAGACCCAAGAGCTCAGCAGGCCGCTGATGGGGACATAGAGACAAACACCCAAAATGACATCCAGCTGATATTCAGCTGCTGAAGGGACCAGAGAGAGAGAGGAGCCCTCCCTCTCAGCCAAGAATACACACCAGTGCGGATCATGCTAATGCACTCAGCTAATCTAAAGACTTGGGGTTCAAGTCCACTCAGAGGCTCCTGAGAAGAAAGGCCTGGTGATGTACTCCCCCAAAACTAGCCACTTAAAACCTCATGGAGGTCCCCTCAGAGCAAACCCCCTTCCAAGACTAAGACTCAGTGGGAATACGCGCTCTGATTGGTGACCACGCTCGTCACTGTTAAGGGGAAGTGAGGGGGAAAACAGCAATGAAGCTGCGAGCTAAGCCCTACAACATTCAATAGACTCCTGTGAACCC